GCCCCCAGAATACGCCCAGGAGGCCTCCAGAAGGCCTTGAGAAAGCTTGAAACAACTTTTGTGAGGCCCGCAGATGCTCTCCAAGGAGGCGTCCCCGCAAAAACGACAGCTGAGGAGGGTGGGGGGAATGCGCGAGGTATGGCGAAAATGAGGAAAAGAGGCATGGGGGACGGATAGCGAATCACATTCCAATATCGACGATACCAGAAGAGGCAACGCGGAGTTGTCGCTAAATTGTCGGCTTGACCCTCCTGCTATTCCGCCTGCAGGTCGCACTTCAAGGGCCAGGGTGCATGGCGCGAAGCGCCACTGCAGTCTGGTGTGTGTGTGTATATTTATATAGATATATGATATAACGAGAGAGAGAGAAAGAGAGAGAGAGAGAGAGAGAGAGAGATAGAGAGAGAGAGAGAGAGATCGAGAGAGAGAGAAAGAGAGAGAGAGCGAGATAGAGAGAGCGAGAGATAGAGAGAGAGAGAGAGAGAGAGAGAGAGAAAAAAAAAACGAGAGAGATATTCATACGGATAAACATATGTAGCTAGTTTGGCGCCGCCGACGCGGCCGCGGTGGCGCTGACCGCTGGGCGCATCCGAGCGGGCGCTTCACTGCGAGTCAGCAGCTTGGGCGGGCGCGGTATCATGACAACGCCGACTACGGTGGACGCGATGATGAAAGTGGCGATGCTGGCGCCGATGTTCGTTCGCACCGGCGAAGGGCGGCCAGTGCGGGCGCCGATGCTGATCACGTCGGCGACGATGACGGCGTTCTCGCGTCGGTGATGAAGGTCTTGGAACAAGTTCGACATGCGCGCGCGGCCGACGCGCGAGAGTGGCCCGCGCGGTTTTATTTGACACGTATCGTGCCCCCCCTTCCAGCACGCGCGCAGGGGCGTCCGCATGATGTGGGCATGCGGCGCGAGAGTCCCGTTTGGCAGACACCCGTGCACATGTTGAAGTTGTTTTTGCTTGTTTTTGTGTTATGTATTTTTTGTTTGTTTTCAGGAATTCGCAAGAGTGCGCGCAAGTTTTTTGATTAAACCAATGAAAGTTGACTTTGCGAAACCATGTGTTTCTGAATGTTGATTGGACGCTCGGTTTTGAAATCGTTACGGCACCGAAAGTTGCTGAAGGATTTTGGCATGCGCGCGCGACGACGCGCGCGTGTGCACTTCGTCGCATTTGTTATAAAGGATTCTCGCGACGGCACGCGCGCAAAAGGGGTTCGAACGATTTCGACGTGCGCGCGCGCGAAGCCCGTTTGGTATCATTTTTTCTGACAGTGTTGAACAACCCATGGGTTTCTCCAGAATCCGCGGAAGAGCGCGCGCGTCGATTTTGAAACTGAAGGTCTTACAGTACTGAGAGTTTTTGAAGGATTTCGGCATGCGCGCGCAGCGGCGCGCGCATGTGCACTTCGTCAAGTTTTTTGTTGTCGTTCTTTTCTCTCTTTTGCCGCAGCGGGTTCCTGAAAATATGTCGTTTTAGATAAGCGAATGCGCCCGCGCAGTATTTTTCCAAGCGGGCGGCAGGGGGGGTCGAGCCGGTTGGGCTGGGCTGGTATGGGCTCATATTTAGGATGGGCGATGGGGCAGGATCGTATGTAAATTGCAACACAAAACGGTGTACCGATAAACCCGGGGGGGGGTGGTGGTGGATCCCAATTCTTTTTAAGAAAGGAGAACCGACGTTATGCAATTTGTGCGGTTGTGCAATCTAGGCGGCGACGAGGCGGCGACCAGGCGGCGATGGCGACCGCGGAATTTCCAAACCGACCGCCAGGCCCAGACGACGGGCGGCGACGGGGAGGCGACGACGACCACGAGGCCGCCACACCGACAGCCAGGCCCAGACGACGGACGGCGACGATGCGGCGACGGGGCTCCGACGGCGACCACGGAATCGCTGCACCGACAGCCAGGCCCAACTCCTCAGATAACAGGTAAGACTCCCTAAGTGCAAGCATTGTCGGGGGTATTAAGCAGGATGTGGAGGAGGAGGAGGCGGAGGATGCGGAGGAGGAAAAGGAGGAGGAGAAGGGATCAGGAGAGTGATGAAGGAAGACAATGAGGAGGAGAAGGAGGAGGAGGATGAAAAGGAGGAAAGGAGGAGGCAGGAACGCGGAAGAACAAGAAGGGAACGATGGATATTCTTTTGATGATGTTGATGACGATGATGATGATGATGATGACGATGATGACGACGACGATGTTGATGATGGTCACGGTGATGAGGATGATGATGACGCCGCCGATGATGATGCTGATGATGCTGATTCTGCTGCTGCTGCTGCTGTTGCTGGTGTGATGGTGATGGCGATGATGATGGTGCTGGTGATAATGGTGACGATGATGATAATGAACATGCTGATGCTGATGATCATAATCATGATGCTGCTGCTGATGATGATGATGACGAATGATGATGATGATGCTCCTGCTGATCATGATGGTGCTGCTGTTGCCGATGATGGTGGTGAAGATGATGCTGGTTGTGGTGGTGGTGATGATGGTCCCACCGATGATGATAATGGGGTTTATGATGATGACGATAACGACGTGATGATTGTATTGCTGATGCTCATGATGACGATGCTGATGATGTTGATGATGATGGTGTTGCTGCTGCTCATGATGACGATGCTGCTGATGATGATGAAGAGGAGGATTGATGGGTGATGTATTGAGGTGCTGCTGATGATTACGATGCAGGCGATGCCGACGATGACGATGACGATTCCGACGTTGATGATGCTGATTAACATGATCATGGTGATGATGCTGATGATGGTAATGATTTTGAGGATGCTGACAGCGACGATGCTGCTGATGATGATGAAAACGACGATGCTGATGATGATGATGATACCGCTGCTGCTGCTGATGCTGATGCCATTGATGATGTTTACGATGCTGCTCATGATGATGATGATGATGATGATGATGATGATGCTGATGGTGATGCTGATGATGATGATGCTGATGATGATGATGATCATGATCATGATCATAATGATGATGCTGCTGCTGCTAATGATGATGATGGTGATTTGCTGTTGATGATGCTGTTAATGATGCTGATGCTGATGCTGATGTGGATGCTGCTGCTGATGATGCCAACCATGATGATGGCGTTGCTGATGATGCTGATAAAGATGATAGTCATGATAATGATGATGCTGATGCTGTTGCTGATGATGATTATGATGGAGACGATGATGATGCTGATGACAATGATGATGCTGATGATTACGATGCTGATGCTGATGATGATGCTGATGATGATGCCGATGCTATTATGCTGATGATGCTGATGATGAAGATGATGATGCTGATGATGCTGCTGATGATGATGCTGATGATGATGGTGTTGCTGTTGATCATGATGGTGCTGATGCTGATGCTGATAATGATGCTGATGATGATGATGCTGCTGCTGATGATGATGATGATGATGATGATGATGACGATGACGACGACAATGACAATGACAATGACAATGACAATGACAATGACAATGATGATGATGATGATGATGATGATGATGATGATCATGATGATGATGACGATTCTGATGATGATGATGATGATGAGGATGATGATGATGACGATGATGATGCTGATGATGATGATGATGTTGCTGCTGCTGATGATGATAATGACGATGATGATGATGATGATGATGATGATGATGATGATGATGATGATGATGATGATGATGATGATGGCGATGATGATGATGTATGATGATGATGATGATGATGATGATGATGATGATGATGATGATGATGATGATGATGATGATGATGATGATGATGATGAGATGATGATGATGATGATGATGATGATGATGATGATGATGATGATGATGATGATGATGATGATGAGATGCCGGAGGAGGGAGGAGGAGGGAGGAGAGGAGGGGAGGAGGAGGAGGAGCAGGAGCAGGAGGAGGAGGAGGAGGAGGAGGAGGAGGAGGAGGAGAGGAGGAGGAGAAGGGGAGCAGCAGGAGGAGGAGGAGGAGGAGGAGGAGGAGGAGGAGGAGGAGGAGGAGGAGAGGAGGAGGAGGAGCAGCAGGAGGAGGAGGAGGAGGAGGAGGAGGAGGAGGAGGAGGAGGAGGAGGAGGAGGAGGAGGAGGAGGAGGAGGAGTAGAGGAGGAGGAGGAGGAGGAGGAGGAGGAGGAGGAGGAGGAGGAGAGGAGGAGGAGGGAGGCAGGAGGAGGACGAGGAGGAGTGTGAAGAAGGAGGATGATGATGAGGAGGAGGCGGAAGGAGGAGGAGGATGGAGGATGCAGGAGAAGGAGGAGGAGGAGCAGGAGGAAGGAGGAGGAGGAGGAGGAGGAGGAGGAGGAGGAGCGGAGGGGAGGTGAAGCGAGAAGGACAAGGGACGTGCAGCGGGTAGCGGGGATGCGGACTGGTGCGCCGCCCCTGGAAGATCCAGACGAGCAGTTGCGGCAACCTCGCCAGGTGCTGCCGAGGTCTCCTGGTGGCTCAGAGGTCTTCGGGGAGGCCCCAGCAAGGCCCCAAAGGCGCAGAGGAACGCCCAGAAGCCTCGATCATCGATTCTGGATCCCTCCCTGATCTTCCCTCGAAGAAGAACAAAACAGCATAAACAGAAGCTTTCGGAGCTCCGCGCACATTTCTGGGATCTGCGCCTGACCCCCCTGGCGGTGCCTCCGGCGCCGCCCCTGGCGCGCTGCGCGCCAGGGAGGGTGTCTGGCGCCGGCCCAAGACATCCGGGCGCAGCTCCGAGAGTTTATGTTCATGCCGTTCTTTCATTTTCTCAGAAGGCGAACCCCCCCCCCCCCCCGAGTCCCGACGCCCACCCCCGAGCCCGCGACCTGGGGGGTCGGGACTGGGGGTGGGGGTGGGTTTTCTTTATTCCCAGACCCCGAAAACCCACCCCCACCCCCAATCCCGAACCCCCGGATCGAGGGTTCGGAAATGGGGTCGGGAACTTGGGTGGGGGTGGGTTTTCGCCTTCTCGTTTTCGCTGTTGGCCCGAGGACTTGGACGAGTACGGCAACCTCACCAGGTGGGCGGCGCAGAACAGCGGGGTCCTCTTCGCCGACGTTCGCGCGCGAGCTGCACGCGCAGGGCCGCGCGCGAGCGCCCTCGTCTCCTCGTGCTGCGTGTCGCGAGGGCGGCCTGCGCAGGCCGCCGCGCGAGATCGCCAGGCCGTCTCGCATAAGACCCGCTTCTTCGGCAGCAAAGCATGGGAGCCTCGTGCGCCCTCGCAATTCTGTCTTCAGCGTCGATCAGCGTCGACCGGCGTCTGGAATCGATGAGATGGCGCCGATTGGGCGTCGAGCAGCGTCGATCTGGCGTCGTCGAGCGTCGAGTTGGCGTCGATCGGCGCCGATCCGCAAGAGCCGACACGATGGTATGGGAGGCCCCCTTGAGTTGCCACCGAACGTTCCTTTTCGTCGCCTAGGTTCGGCGTCACCCCAACATACTCATACTACATGTCCGTCGCCCCCCCAAGGGGCGACGCGCGCACCGAGCCATCTCATACGATACGCGTCGTGGCGGACGCTTTCTGGCCACACCGCTCGGGAAGCGATGTACTACAAGATGTGTATACTGTATGTTCGGGTCGGACGAGTCCCTGGCTCCTGTCCATGGCGTACTTGTCCTGTGCAAGATCTTCGGCACCGCCTGTTCTCTGCACCCTCTGGCCGCCTGAGGCCCCGCCCTCCCGCGCCCTGTCTCCCCAATTAGGGCTTCGCGCGCCCCCGCCTAGCCTAGCTCTTAACCGGAAGGGGCCCGCTCCCGACCCGCCGACCAAAAAAGTTCGGGTCGGACGCGCGCCTCCAAGGAGGATATCTAGTACCAGTAGGTCTCTGTGCGTCCCACCAAAGGGAGTCCAGCGACAAGAGGGTGGTGCAATAAGTTTGTGGGGTTTCAATACATCTGGGGCGTGCGGTACATTCCAGGGCGCAAGCGTCGTACTTGATTCTCGCGCACACTAGTAGGTCTAGCATGAGTAGGTCTCTGTGCGTCCCGCAGGTGGTCTTCCTTCGAGGAGTTTCAGGACTTCCTGCGCCAGAACGACCCCGGCAGCAGGCGGCGCGCGCCCTTGTGCCCGGAGCGCGCGCGCCGCTCGCCGCGCGCCCTGCTGCGCCAAGAGCTTGCGGCGCTCGGGGAGGTTCCAAAGGGCACAGGGGGTACAGGGGGGTGAAGGAGGAGGAGGAGGAGGAGGAGGAGGAGGAGGAGGAGGAGGAGGAGGAGGAGGAGGAGAGGAGGAGGAGGGGGAGGAGGGGGGGAGGGGGGGAGGAGGGGTGGAGGAGGGGGGAGGAGGGGGGAGGGGGGGAGGAGGGGGGGAGGGGGGGAGGAGGGGGGGAGGGGTGGAGGGGGAGGTTCCAAAGGAGACAGGGGGGTACAGGAGGAGGAGGAGGAGGAGGAGGAGGAGGAGGAGGAGGAGGAGGAGGAGGAGGAGGAGGAGGGGAGGGGGGAGGGGGAGGAGGAGGAGGAGGAGGAGGAGGAGCGAGGAAGAGGGAGGAGGAGGAGGAGGATGCAGGAGGAGGAGGAGGAGGAGGAGGAGGAGAGGAGGAGGAGGAGGAGGAGGAGGAGGAGGAGGAAGGAGGGGAGGAGGAGGAGAGAAGAAGGAGGAGGAGGAGGAGGAGGAGCGGAGGGGAGGTGGAGCGAGAAGGACAAGGGACGTGAAGCGGGTAGCGGGGACGTGGACAGGTGCGCCGCCCCTGGAAGGTTCCAAAGGGTACAATGGTGTACAGGAGGAGGAGGGGAGGGGGAGGGGGGGAGGATGGGATGATGATGATGATGATGATGATGATGATGATGATGATGATGATGAGATGATGATGATGATGATGATGATGATGATGATGATGATGATGATGCTGATGCTGATGCTGATGCTGATGATGATGATGCTGATGCTGATGCTGATGATGATGATGATGATGATGATGAGGAGGAGGAGGAGGAGGAGGAGGAGGAGGAGGAGGAGGATTATGCAGGAGGAGGAGGAGGAGGAGCGGAGGAGGAGGAGGAGGAGGAGGAGCGAGAAGGACAAGGGACGTGCAGCGGGTAGCGGGGATGCGGACAGGTGCGCCGCCCCTGGAAGGTTTCAAAGGGTACAGTGGGGTGCAGGAGGAGGAGGAGAGGGGGAGGAGGGGGGGAGGAGGGTGGGAGAGGGAGGGGGATGAGGAGGAGGAGGATAAGGAGGAGGATGAGGAGGAGGAGGAGGAGGAGGGATGAGGGAGAGGAATCCAACAAAAAGCAAGGCAACGCAATACAACGCAAGTCAAAACAATGCAAAGCAATGCAAAACGCTGCACAACAATGCAAACAACTGAACATCAATACACATCAATGCAAGCCAATACAACGCAACGCACATCAATACAAAGCAATGCAAAGCAACGCAAATGAATGCAATACGATGCAAAGCGATACACAGCGGTATAAAGCAATGCATTGCAATGCAGAGTGCTGCGAAGCAACGCACATCAACATAATGCGATGCGAGACCATGCAACACAC